CCAATGGTTCTTAACCTGGGCGATATTGCCCCCCAGGGGGCAATTTCGTTTTTCAGGGGGGCGATGAAATGAAAAGGGGCAATGCGGGGGTGAAGGAATGGAAAGGGGTCGATATGGGGACGATGGAGCGAGAAGTTTTGGGGACACTTTTGAGACTTTTTTCATACAGTGAACCGCTGTATATCTGTCGTACAAAAACATCGGATCGCTCACTATTAGTGGATTGAACTGTGTTTTAAAATGTTCCTCCAGATAGCTTCAGTACAGAATGCCGTACATATGTGAATATGCATCGCTCATCTTCATGCGCATTGCACAGCAGCCTCTATCACTGTACCCATTAAATTTGTCACTCTGATTTTTGTTACTTTCCTTCTGTAAAAAATTTCTTTGTGTCTTTTTAACCCTTTTTACAGTGTGCATGAATATACATTTTCCTTGAATCTTAATTTAGTTTCAGAGTTTTCATCTTGAAATTCTTAGTTCCTGCATTGCGGTTTGTTCTTATGCCCTTTTTATATTTCTTTTTGTGTTTTAAAATTCAGTTGTAATTAAATCATTAAATGTTACTGGTTTTTTTGGACATTTCATTTTCTTGCAAGTGAATTTTGTTTTCAGTGGTCATTGCATTTAAATGTCTTGAATAAATAAGATAATAATGAAATACATGCATCACGAAGTTTGGGAGTAAAGTGGTGGGTGGCATCAGAATTTTTCACACAGTTGAGATATGGGGAAAAGACTGGAAATAAATTATTTGCATCAATATGTCCTGATGACAATTTTAAAGAAAACAAAAACGTGTTTGCATAAATTGAAGAATTATTTCCCTGTGTTGTGATTGAGAGGTTATGTTGGGGGAGGGGGGCGATGATAATTTCCTCAATGGCTCAAGGGGGTGATTCTTTCCAAAAGGTTAAGAACCACTGTTATAGACAATGATCTCTCATCTCTTGATTGGCAATTTCTATTCACTGGATGCAATACTGTTGAAGACCATTACAACATATTTTTACTTGAAGTCGAAAGAGTCATCAAACTATATGTACCAATAACAACTCCCAAAACCAGAAAAAACAAATTACCCATAACAATAAGGAAGTTTCAATCCAAAAAGAAATCACTTTGGTGGAAAAACAAATCCGGTTATGTTGCCAACTTCAAAAGCCGATACAAAAATGTATGCCACCAGATAAAGACTGAATGCACCAATTATCACATTAAACAAGAGGAAAACCTCTTATGCAGCAATTCCACCCACGCTTTCTCCAATTTTGTAAACAACAAACTAAAAGATTCAAGGTCCATCCCACCCCTGAAAGGACCTAATGGTAAAGACTGCAACGATGACACTATTAAAGCCAACCTCTTTAACACATTCTTTGGCTCAGTATTTGTAAACAATTGATCATGCCTAGTATTTCCTAGTTGAACCACAGACAACTACAATGATCTAATACATATCGATTTTACAGAAGACAATGTTGAAAAAGCACTATGCAATCTAAAACCATCTCTATCTATTGGTCCAGATGGAATATGTGCCTACTTCTTAAAAAAGCTATCCACTGCCATAGCCGAACCTCTAAGCATAATCTTTGAAAAATCTTTCAGGACCAGCTCTTGCCAAACCTATGGTCACTAGCCATGGTCATCCCCATCTTCAAAAAGGGAGACCCCAGCCTAGTTGAAAATTACAGACCAATCTTTTTATGTTGCGTCACCTGTAAAGTTATGAAATCAATTATTAACCAATCCATTATCCTTCACTTAGAGACAAACAACCTACTCTCTAATAAACAATTTGGTTTCAGAAAAAAAACCTATCCTGTAATCTGCAACTCTTATACTGCAAAAACATATGGACTACACAACTCGATCAGGTCAAAGCAATAGACGCAATTTACATAGACTTCTGTAAAGCCTTCAGTGGTACATGACAAACTACTCCTAAAACTAAAATCTTATGGTATTTCTGGACACCTACATAACTGGATAGAAGCACTCCTGTCAAACAGACAACAAATGGTCAACATTGGGAGCATCCTATCAAATTCTGTACCTGTCAACAGTGGTGTCCACCAAGGCAGTGTTCTAGGACCAACTCTCTTCATGCTCTACATAAATGATGTCTGTGATCATATTAAGAGCAACTGCGTTCTCTTGACTGATGATGTAAAGCTATTCAACACCACCGACAATATTGCTACCCTTCAAAAAGACCTCGACTATGTATCAGAATGGTCAAACAAATGGCAACTTCAAATCTCAACAAATAAATGCTCTGTCTTACATATTGACAAAAAAAGTCAGAAAATAAAATACAAGCTTAATAGTCAAGACCTTGTTGATGATCCAAACTCTGTCAAGGACCTTAGAGTACTCATCTCTAATGATCTAAGTGCTAGAGCCCACTGTAACTAAATAGCCAAAAAGGCATTAAGAGTTGTTAACCTAATCCTGCGTAGCTTTTTCTCTGGTAATATCACACTACTAACTAGAGCATACAAAACATTTGCTAGACCAATACTTGAATACAGCTCATCAATCTGGAACCTTATCTGATATTAATACAGTTGAGAAAGTCCAGAAATATTTCACAAAAACAGTTCTCAATTCCTCTACTTGTTGCAGAAAACCTTATGCCACCAGACTTGAAATTCTAGACCTAGAAAACTAAAACTACGCTGCCTTCGGTCCGATCTAAGTATAGTACATAAAATTATATATTGCAATGTTCTACCTGTCAATGAATATTTCAGCTTCAACCATAACAATACAAGAGCACACAATAGATACAAACTCAAAGTAAATCGCACCAAACTTGATTGCAAGAAATACGACTTCAGCAACAGAGTGGTCAATATCTGGAATACTCTACCTGACTCTGTGGTTTCTTCCCCAAAACCCAAAAACTTTAACTGCCTACTATTGACCTCACCCCTTTCCTAAGAGGTCTGTAGACCCCCTACATAAGCACACCAACGTGGTGACTGTCCCTATTGTTTCTTTTTATTTTTCCTATATGTATCCATTTCATGTATTCATAACTATGTTTATACTTATACCTGTTATCTTATAATCGCTTGACAAATAAAATAAATAAGTAAAATAAATATGTAATTAAGAGAAAGTGTAGATTTTCAGGGAGATGAGAAAGACAAATATTTATGGTTATTCAGAAAATAGTGGTATACATTTGATCCTGAAGTTAAGAGGTTGGGATTCTTAGCCATTTGATCTGGGGAAGACCAGCTGCTGTTGTCTAATAATCTGCCAAGCATTTGATTTTATCCATTGTTATTTTCAGGACTCATGTCAGCCATCAGAAAAAGAGGTGTGCAAATGTATGTCTTTGGATTGTACTTCCTTGAACAAATTACCTGTGGTGCAGGCATTCTTCATTCTGCAAACGGTCATCTGCCATCTTTAACCTAATAGCTCTATTTTGCTTAAAAAGGCAATCCACTAATTTTTGGTAGCCCATCAATGACTGATAAACTTTCCTCTTGGATTTTCTCTCTCTTTATAAAGTAATAACAGGATTTTCAAACAACTAGTTAGTTAGGTTGGTGGTATCACATTAAATTGATCTGATTCAGGCTTTGATTAAATCAATGCACCTGGCTTAGTTGGTTGCAACTAAAGGAGAATAAACAGTAATTCATCACATGTTCATTATGGCAACTTCTACAAAATGACTCTTGAGAACAGTGCTAATTCTTCAACATAAGGAAGTTTATGTGGCAGTCCAGCAGAATTAGGTACTAAGTATATTGTCCTAACTATTCAAATTATTTCCCTGTTGTGGAGTCCTTGCAAGCGTTCTGAGATGTTTTACTACCAGTGTACACAACATCTGCAGTGCTGGAAGGGAGTGAGGATTGCTGTCTGTTTATAAATAGTTGCTTGCCCTCAATATTATTTTTTTCATTTTCTTCTCATTTAGGATCACTAAGAGTAGCTATTATTTAGACTCTATTTCTCTGCAGTCATGTTTATACTAAAAATAATGCTTCTTGTCCTTCAGTGTAATAGATGACCATTTGTAGCATAGATATACAAAAATAGAGAGGTACTTCCTTTGGATGAAGATTCAAATAAAGCAAGTCTTCATCTTTGCTTTCTGAAGCAACATGGCTCCCTTCCTTCTGGAAGCAAAGCCAAGTGACCCATTTGCTTCACCTTGTTCAATGTTGGAATCTTTTGCACCCTGCTCTAGAGAGGTGATGCTAAAGGAAAAAGCCAACGGGTTCCTTTTCTTACAATACCGTTCATACTGCTTTGAAATTATCTGGCTTCAGCAGGCACAGTAGCTGTAGTATTTTAGCTATGTTCAGGTTGTTCCAGGCTGCGTAGTTTCAGTACTTATTACAGTTAGACCTGAAAATTCTCAGCCTATAGCTATTTTGGCCAGAAATATTGGACTAGAAGACGGGAGTCTTCAGCATTATGCTGAAGTGACTGAGGGTCATTTGTATTGCTTCATCATGGTGAATCAGGTCACCTGTTTGCTTCACATGTTTGCTTTTGGTAGGTTGATTTTAATTATTGTTTAAATGCTTATATTTATTTATATGTGTTCTGTTTTTCTTACTTTTACAAATAACCTGTGGTGGCCAACATATCCAACACATCTTCCTCCTTCTATTTTCCCTACAAGAACAACTCTGGAGGTAGGATGGGCTGAGGAAGAGAGTGACTGGCCCATGGTCATCCAGCTGGCTTTCATGGCTAAGGCAGGAGTTCAACTCACAGAATTCTATTTTCTATCCTGGTGTCTTAACCACAAAACTGGCTCTCATTTCATAGCTGATAAGAAATCTGCTCATATAATAAAATAGCTCATGTTCATTTCGCTGTTTATAAAACAAAATTTATATCAGTGCTACAAGATTTGCTGCTGTTGCTTTGGAGCACTATATACTTATTCTTCTCACTTTCTCTGTGTGTGTATCTGTGTTTTGTTTGTACATGTTTCCCCTTTCTCTTCCCAACAGCTGCACCCAACACACCTGTAGAGAGCAGGGAAGCTGTGTGCTTCCTCAGATCCATCATGCGACTCTTACAAACTGTAGTTCCAGTAGTCGGGGCCACCTAGAATGTGCTATTTCTTGTGAGAAAGGTTTTGTTCTCCAAGTTAAACATGGACAATTGCTGCGCCCAGCACAGGTAAGTACGTTGGAGTTATAAATGTCATTATAGATGTGCTTCTTTAAAAAAATCATTTTTCTCATTATATATCTAATATTTGGGGAGAAGATAGCAGTGGTTGTAACATTAGTTACGTATGTGGCAATGATGCAACCTTGAGATTTCTTGCCTTAAATTCACAACATAATTTGAAATGTTCAAAAATAATACATTACTTTCCCTAGTGGTCTTTTAATTATAAGTCAATGATAAAAGAAAACATAATGGAGGGAAATACCTGAAGGAAGCATAGATGTTTGAAAAATAAATCTCCACAAATATGCAGAAGTTTTATCATTTTATTTTATTCCGTACATTGTTCATTTTCAATGATGAGAATTTTGTGTGGTATGGGTAAGATTTTCAATACTTTCAACAGTGAATGCAATATAAGGCAAAAATGAAATTGTGACTGTACCAGTTTCATTCATCCATTTGTTTAAAGATACATTCTTCATAGTTTTCCCATCAAAGTGGCTGTTACAGTGGATAAATTAATACATGTATTTGCTCCAATTTTGCCTCATTTTTATACTTTGTAAATACCTGGAGAGGCTTGTAAAGATATGTTTACAGCTTAAATCTAACTTTCTTTTGCAAAATATTTCCTTCTATAACTTTAATGTTCAGCATAGCTTTTCAATTTTGTTTTAAAATAGCCTTTAGTTTTGATACCTGGTTTTGACTTATGCCTTGATTACATTCCTGTATTTTTCCTCTCAACTCCCACATTGCTATATGCCAAAAATTATTTTAACTATTGGCAAAAGTTTAAAATCCTGGAGATGGAGACAGAAAAATTATCTGCAAATAATAACTAGCTGCAAAATTTATTTTCAGTGAAAAAAAGTTTTCATTATGTCAAATTTCTTTGGCACATTGTGCTTACTTACTCATGGAATAGGTCAAACTGATCTCTGATGTAGGATTGAGTCAGCTAGTTTTCCTTTGAAAGTTAAATAGATAGAGTATATTATATTGGAAAAGAAACACAGTTGTAAATTGTAAATTTTATTTCCAGGTATTTCTGGCAAGCTATTGTGTCTCAGTGACATTGCCCTCTGTTTCTACTATGGAAGTGATAATAGTGCTAACCAATTTTATATAATGTCAATTACAAATGAAGTACTTTAAAAGTGTATGGAAATTAATAGTAATATTAGTCATTATAAGTGAACATCAATGGATAGTCCTTCTGTGTTACTTTTTTTTTCATTACTAACCAATCACAAGAATTATAAATATGCTAAGTAAGTTGACTGCCCAGTCATTTAGTTAGGAACTGTGATTTCCATCGTTTTAATTTTTTTTACATTTTATTTTATTTATTATTAAACTTTTATGCCACCTATTTCTTGCCGAGGCAACTGTAAGTTTCCTAGTCTGTATTTGAACACACCTGAATTTGGCTCTAGTGATTTTGAAGGATTAAAAACTATATACAAATTGCAGGGAAAAGTATAAAAACATCGAGGTGTGGAGTCTTTTTTGTTAGGGGCTGATGGAGAAACAGAATGTGGTAGGTAGATAGGTAGGTAGGTAGGTAGGAAGGAAGGAAGGAAGGAAAGAAGGAGTATTCAGCACTGTTTTCTCCCCCTCAGGGCACTCTGAATAAAAACAGGCATAAGAACCAATAGCAATCTCAGTTGTTCGAATGTAACCAATGAAAACTTACTTAATTTCCTCTTTCCCTTAATTTCATACAACAAATCCTGAAGATAAAACAAAAGCAACAGATTAAAAAGAGTGACTAAAGATCTAAAGAACTATATTATGCCTAGCACATTGTGTTTCAAGCTTTAGTTGCTTAAAACTATGTTCTTATTAATAGTAAAACACTTTTCGTGAAAAAAAGACTGCTAAAGTATTTCCATTCGGATATTAAGTGTATAATTCATTATGTTCTTAAAGCATGAAGAGAAAAAAAAACCTAGATATATTTTCTTAAATAATAGAGCAGGTAATATAAACTGCAGTTAATTTATGAAAATGGTAAATAATTCTCTTTTTCCAGTTTTTAATGTTATGGCATATGGGCTAACTTAAAGTATACTGTGCAATGATTTGTAATACAACTTTATTAATTTAAACTAAAAAATAATCCTGAAGAAAGATTAATTGGAATTATACATTCTCTCTTCACTGGACCCATGCTATTGGTATTTCTTTTTTTGTCCAAATACTTGGTTCTCCTCCCAGTTTGCTTCAGATTTCCTTTAGAGATCTATAAAAATACAGTGTATACTGTATGCGTGGAAAAAATAGTTATCTGCCTTAATTTTTTGGAGGGACAGGGATAAAAAAAGGGCATAAATAGATCAAATAAATAAATAATATACAGGCTAAGTATGGGAATAATAATGATGATAATAATAATAATAATAATAATAATAATAATAATAATAATAATAATAATAATAA